AAACCAAGAGCAGGAGAACCTGGCTTTGCTCTCTTTGCAGTGGATTGGTTACTGCTGCTGCTGCTACTTGACACCACTGCGATACCAACGATAGCAGATGTTACAGCTTCCCACTATTTTCCTGATTACGAAAGAGGACATAGGAATTGCTGAATGTGTGTTTGTGACGAACAGAAAGTCAGAACGACCACTGTCATAGTTTGTTGGTTGAGTTGTTCGGCTAAGGTAAAATAGAAAGGTATCTCGATACTCTGCTGCCAAAACCAAGAGGTGAACAAATAACTGACTCATTGCAGCTAACTCACTGGCTCATACGAAGTTTGTAGGGCGAGCAATCTGTGTGTGTAAGTGGTCCAATGCGATTAGCGATGAGTAGCCTTTACTGCCTTGACATTGTTACTTTGACGAAGGATTAGTTAAAATCCTGAAGTATGAGGAATCAACGCGCTGTTGTTTAAGTGAATCTCTGTGCGCGTCCTCATTTGCTAGATTTAGCATTCAGTGTATCAGCAAGGAACGAAGTCCGAAGGAAGTGCATGTTCAAAAGCAGGACCTTTCTACTGCTAGCGCATGCAACTTTCAAAGTCAATTTTAAGTCTTTTATCCTAATTTTTGCAAAGGCGTCATAAACTGCATCAATCAGAGTCAAAACATCTCCACCCCTCCCCTCTAACGTGTTCATGTAGTAATCAGGCGCATGTCAGCAACAAAATGTGCTCAAAAAAGTAATTCGAAGTATCTAAATGCGTAATATATCATTGCTATTAGGCGTAGGCGTATGTCTTATGCATAGTTCAAATGCACTTATTGCACAATAGTTAAGTTCGTTACATCCAAGACTTAGGCATGCTTTCCCTACGTTCAATCATGCCTTTTATGGTGCTTCTGACACGCATCGTTTTCACATGCTCAACGTCGAGTTCACATGCGTTTGAGGTCTGCCTCCTGACAAGCTCAATTCGTCAGCTTACGATACTTGCACGAATCAGCTTTACAAGAGAGATAGATGAACTTGAGATCACACAGCTAGATTATTTTAAAAAATGAAGACAGTTAAAATGAGCAGCTTTTTAGTGGTAAATAAGTTGGCAGTTGAAGCTCATATTTAGTGGCAGAAACAGTAGCATTGAGCCAAACTCTCCTTTAGACGGTTTACGTATAATATAAGTTTTTCCATTACACAGCAACACCATACGAAAAGGAATAAAGCTTACAAATACTTAAATCTGCGCACGCACTGTTGCATGACTATTCGAGCCAATCACGGCACGACCTTGAGAATACTGCACGTATAAGCACCGACTCATGCGTGGGGATGCCATACGCAGCGTGCAAGTTCATCGAGATGGGTAACATCGCTGATGTTGCTGGAAGACTTCGTACCGGTTCAGAGCCTCAACGAGTAGTAATGCTTGGCCTCGATGCTGCAGGCAAGTCAACCATTCTCTGCAGCATGAATTTGGGCAACAACACTGCACCTAAACCCACCATCGGATTCAACGTGGATGAGGTCCACATACCGGGAACACGGGTGTCTTTCGTAGTTTGGGACCTTGGAGGCCAGGAATCACTTCGCGTAATCTGGCGCCAGTACCTTCAGGGTATTTCAGGCCTTGTCTTCGTGGTAGATTCTGCCGACGTCAGTCGCATAGAGGAAGCGCGGTCTTGTTTGCATGCACTTGTTCGAGATGCCCATCTTGCCGGAGTCCCAATAGCTTTGGTAGCAAACAAGCAGGATCTTGCAGACTCTCTCTCCGTTAGTCAGGTAGAAGAACTCCTCGATATGGGAAGGCTTTCGCCCATTCGAAATCCTTACATCGTAAGACCAACGATTGCATTGAGTGGCGTGGGAGTCACACAGCTCTTCGTTGACTTTGCCAAGTTGGTGAGGCTACAGGAGAAGCGCTGGGCTGCATACAATCGTCGCAACTCCGCAGCAAGCTCCGCCTCCGATGATTCCCTCATTCGTCGAAGTTGGAAAGCTCGCTTCTCAGCACGCGTTCCGCATATATTTCGACGCAGTGGTGAGACTCCGGTGTGAAATAACCACATTGTTCATAACTCACATTTTATTTCCTTTTTATTCGACAGCATTTAACCAACACCCTTCCCCTCAGAATTTTCACACCTCATCTTTACTTCCACTGTACACATGACATTCGTTAACCCATATAAAAAATAACATCCTAACTTGTCATTAGTTTCCTTTTATCTCTAGTGGGTGTAGTAATGACGATGCGCAATGCCTCATCATGTAGCTTTACTGTTAACCTATCTGATGTAGTCTAACATGCCGTGTGGACGTAGCGTAGTTTGCTGACAAAAAAAAATACCGTGAGTAGATAAACTGTCGTTCAGTTTTTGTAGGCTTGAAATTGAAGAAGAAGAAGAAAAAAA